TTCCGACCCTTTCCAGAAATTTCCAGGTTTTTTCTAGACGTTTTCAGAGATTTCCAGACTTTTCCAGACTTGTTCCAGCTCACTTGGCTTGTTCCAGGTTCTTGTTGTGTATTGTGTGTTAATTATAAGCGTGTTAAAAAAGTGTTGCTTTTCGTTTCATTTCATCGGGTCGCTTTTTCATTTCATCGAGTCTCAAATCACTCCCAACGATTCTAAAGAAGTTTTCACTTCAAAAAGTCAAATAGTTCATTTTTTTGATGGAATACAAGGTGCATTCAAAAATTTGTGCCAATTCCAATGGCCGCAACTGTACATAATAAGTACATACCTACCTATAAAACACAGACAATTAATTTCCTATACAAAATCTATACTAAAATTATCAATTTGTGTACTTAAATTGGTGCAGTCACATGAAATACCTACCCAATAGCAAAACTTCCAATTATTTGTTATCATAATAGTGAATTGCACGGTGCTGAACATAGCCAGTCACAACTTGGCAACGCAGCTCCGCAATAACCCGTGTATTTGGTGCCTCAAATTAATTTAATCACAGAAACGAAGGATTTTGGTAGCACAGTAGCGCCATCACGCGGGTTTATATTTTCGCCGGCGGACGGGTCTTCTATAGACGGAGTCTATTATATTCTTTGACTATAACCAAAAACTGGAATGCGAACACATATTGATGAACGTGAAGCCTAGTGCCGCTGCTGCGGAGGGGATACCTGTTTTTGTCGCACTCATTATGTTAAATGGCGGAAATTGCTTCCAACACGTATTCAAATTGATGAAACCTGTGAAGGTAAATATGACAAAACTTTTCAAAACGTCATATGTCAGCGAGCAACAGAAAAAAACAACATTCCCCTTTGTGGCATCTGTCTGTGGCATCTGTCTTTCATGGCTACATTTTTTTGGCAGATATGGCAATGTGTGCGCATTCCAGTTTTTTACTATAGTTCATTGGTATATATTAGCGAAATTGCTGAAAAGCAACAAACTTGAATAAAACCTTGAGAACAATTTTGCCTACACAATTTTTTCTCGAGTGGTATTCGTCATGACTATTTCACGTAAGATTTTGAAAATAAATAGAATGCAAAATTATTAATAAAAACTTCAAATTAAAAATACCAGTTTGACTTTGTTGTTGGTATTGTCCAGGTAACATTATTGTCAGGTGAATACCGAATTTATTGCTGGTGTAATACACTCTAGTGAAATAGTCAATTAAACATCTTGGATATTTAGTTTTAAATTAACCAACATCACGCTCTACAAAATGCAGAAATCGAATTATTTTGCGCCCTGAACTCGAAAAACGGCGCTGTTTCTGTAAATTTGACCCACCTCACGAGCCGCGCCTGTAATTCCTCTATAAAAAACACCAAGGGAAAATTAATCAAGGTCAGGAATCTTCAGATTTTCAGAATAAATAAAAGTTAGAAAACAGGCAAAAAAAGTGAGGTTAGATTACTCATCTCAGTTGTCAAAATGTAAACAGAATAATTAGAGGATTTATGTGTCTTCGTGCCCGATAACTATAAAATACCATGTGAAATACCGTATTGTTAGCGGTACCGTATTAGCGTAGCGTCTGACGCACGTGAACTTTCTATTAATACGTTATTTTCAATTTTTTATAATGGATCTCATGTTCATTTAAATCCTATATACAGGGTGTTCCTAAATATCATTTACAAACGGAAAAGGGTGATTGGTTTATTTTATGACTAAAATTTCTAATAAACCTAGGTCCGCAAACGCTTCGTTACTGATCTACAGGGTGTTGACATTTTAATGTAGGTATTCATATTGGAAATGTGCAATAATATGGCTGCGGAACCTCGTGTCGCCAATGTATTTAAAAAAAGTTTATTGAGTCACTGTAGTTTCATCCGGCTAATTACAGAGATTTGTTTTTTAATTTTTTTCTCGATAAGGGTCGGCGTTTCGAAAAAACTACAAGAGAACGAAAATTTTCCAAATAAGGTAGAAAAATTATTTTGTTTCTTAGAATCTACCAGCGGCGCAACGCAAAAAAGTTCTAGGGCAGAAAAGTGGGCATGACCTCTGAAAAACATCACTATGCCTGTAGATTCTGGTAAACCTTGACATGTGCAATCATTTAGCTCCTATTGCATACCTTTTATTCCAAATTTGAGCTAAATATTCCTGAAAAATTGCAGGAGCTATAAAGAAAAATAAATTGAAATATCAACACTCTGTAGATCGGTAACGAAGCGTTTGCGGACATATTATGTTTATTAGAAATTTTAGACTTAGACATAAAATAAACTATCATCTCCTTCTATTTGTACCTACGTGATATTTAGGAACACCCTTCATTCATATTTAAAAGTAGAGGTAAGGCCCAAAACAGCGGCGTTTTCAATATGAATACATATATAGGATTTTAGACAACCAATCAAAAATAAAACTGTAGTTTAATAGAGTCACTGTAGACAGACATCAGCTGGTTGCGCCAGCGGTCGTAGTACTCGTAGTTTAGAATAGGTATATATACAGGGTGTCACGAAAGGTTTGTTACAAACTTCTAGGGATGGTAGATCTCGTAAAAATAAAACTTTTTTCTTGATAAACATGTGTCCGGAAATGCTTCGTTTTCCAGATATACAGGGTGGCCTAAATTTGAGCCTCATCATTGGGATCTCGGTAACCGTAAGAGATACGAGGTCAGTTAAATTTTGGCAAAGTTGCGCAATTTTATGACCAATAGAATACCGTTTTGAAATTAGAAAGATTCCTTATACTTCCGGAGATATTCGGAAAAAACCAAAATTTTGAATTTTTTCCCGGGCTTATTTGAAAAGCAATTTTAAAATAAATGTCACTTCGTCATTGTCACTTCTTCCCCAGGAGATGGTGGTACTAAATTTGAAATTCGACGTTTCGTCTTCAGGCAGCCATCCTTAACTTACGTTTTTTAAATACGAATCTAGATTTTTTATTTGCGATTTTGTCATCTTTGGGCATCCTAAAACCGATACTGTTTATAATTTTTCAATAACACTGTAAAAAAGCAGGTCCGTATTTGAAAAACGTCGGATTTCAAATTTTATACTGCCATCTTGTAAAGAAAGAGAAAGTGACAATGGGAATGTGAAATTAGTTTTTCAAAATCTTTTTAAATGAAATCAGGAAAAAATTTAAGAAAAACGAGAAATTCATGCATAACAAAAGCACGCGGAATCATAAGCTGTGGTGCAAACACAGCAAGGATGATAGGCACTACTACTACAGGATGGCCTATCCTCATAAAGCCCGGGACACATCTATCATGCATTCTTCCGATCCGACTCCGATCATATTGTCCGTCGATTTTAATCTGATATTCCAAAGTAATGTGAGCTGGTGGCTCCTTACGTTAGAACGCCAATGGTCACCTGACGTCACACCTGTTTTTGCCATATACTTCACCCCCTCGCCCCTCATACGGAAAGTGTCAGATTAAAAACGACGGACAATACAATCAGGGCCCTTATTCCTGAAACAGGGAGCAACGTTCCCAGGAGAATGAGTGTTCCGCTGCTCCTCTGTTCCAAGAATAAGGACCTTGATTGTATGATCGGAGTCAGATCGGAACGATGCATGATAGATGTGTCCCGGCTTTAAGGCCTGTGTGTAATAAATCCCCCCCCTTCCCACCCCAGGCTAAATTACCAGTTGTGACGTGAGCAGCATGTTATTTCTCGCCTTGACGTAGGCTGTTTAAACAGCAGACGACTTAGTATTATGACGCCGGAAATGGTAACACATCAATATGGCGGCGATTACCAAAAACGAGGCTCATAAGCAATCCTTGTAGGTGTGTATCATCCTTGCAAACACCCTACGTCAACTGTCAAGGCGTGAAAACGACACGCTGGTACTTTGGCATGGTGAGGGGCTTGAGATACAGGGGTCGTATTTTCGAATATTCTCGGATACGAAGTTTGATACGATTTCGAATGCTCCCCATTTAATTTACATTGCTGTCAGTCAAATTTCGTGTACGAAATGTACTCGAATGAATTCGAAAATACGACCCCGGCCTTATGAGGATAGGCTATCCTGTGTGGTGTACTATCCTAGATTACAGATTACGTTTTTTTCCGTTAGATTGCATACCGGACCGTTTATCAGAAGGTGAATAACCGGCCCTAACCCCAGTTCGATAGTTTTATGGCTGAGATTTTATGGATAACATTACACCAAGAATCTTGAACTCTATACGATTCCTGAATCGGCTAATTCTAAATCTGCCCACCATCGCAATGCGAAAACTTTTGCTGGACTTGAGTGACGTCAGCTGCAGTCTTTCATTGACGCGTTCCCTATAACCAATTAAAGGCGATTCCGGTCAGTCACAGTTCACAGATAACCAATGAGGCAAACGTCATTTGTCAACCAATCGGTATTAAATGACGTTAAATGCATATGTTCATCAGAAGATAGCCGACTGGTTAATCGCCTTTAATTGACTTATGTGAATGCATGGAAAAGATGGGAAACTGGCAATGTTTCTATGGATTATGATTATGAATATCAAATAGCACTGTACACACCGATTTTTTAAGGTAAAAATGCACTGTCATAATAGAAACAATCCGGTACAGGACTGCGACTGACGTCAAGTGCGACCTAACACGGAGTTGGAATAGAGTCAGAGCGGAATGTTGTCACTTGTTCTAGAGTATAGAGAGTGGTAACGTATACCCGAACGAACCGGAACTTATGGAGTTAAAATATTTGTGCCAAAAATGCATTTTATTTCAAAGACACGCGCTCCTTATCCCCCATCAAACATTCGATTGCAACTTGATAATTGAAAGTTACTCTCTATGGTTTGAGTGAACTTTTGGAGTGAGCTACACTTCACTCCGTGTTTCGGCTATAGAACAAAAAGGTAGTACTCCATTCACGCTAAAAAGCCATACCATTCCTCTGAACCAACGGAGTTGAGTGACAAACTGACAATTCTAATGACAGTTGTCAGTTGATAGGTGATAGATAGAAATGAAAAGCAAAATGGCGACGAGTTATTTTCCCATTATCGGTCTACCCATTTTTTGCATTTTCCATTAATTTATTTTAAAGAAATATTCTAATTAAATCCTATCTACCACTGCTCTATATTTGAGTAAAAATATAATAAACAAAGTGCATTCGTTTGATTCTAATTCCCAGATACCAAAAGTACATAGTAAGGTGCCGAATTTTGGATACTGTAATTATAGATTGGTGTAAAGACTCGTAAGGTCAGAAACTGTCTTTATTTTTCATTAGTTTGGGGCCCTGCGTAATTTTAATATAGCAAAATGTCTTTCCCTGGTCGACCACCGATGATGCCAGGCCTGCCCATGCAGCCCATGTATGCGATGCCTATTGGCGCTCCAGCCCCTGGCCTTATGCCTGCAGTTATGCCCATGCAACATGTAAGTAGCATTTTAATTATAAGTACTAATTTGTTTTTACATAATGTAAGTTGAATAGCTGTAGATTGGGCTCTGATGTAAGTTATTTATAGTTGAGTTGGATATAGCCTTATCAAAAAAAAAATAATCATTTTTTGCTAAACCAAACTTTTCATGATAAAGCTAATAACATAAATATGTACTGCATATTATTGTCATTTCATTAAAACGCACCAGATGATGACTAATTAAAAAGAATTCTAATCAATCTGGTGGAAATTGAAAAATAGTGTGACTCAAATTTCTTAACACTGAATATTGCTAAACCATATATTATCTCTTTTAAATGTAGTGTTGTTGGTGATATTATTTTGGGTTCTCAAGTCATTAATAAGTTTTTGGGTTCAACATAATATGAAGATGAGAAGTTAAAGTTTGAAACTCACATTTCTAACACTAATAAAAACTTTCTAGAGATTGCTTTGCACAGAGAGTTGGATTTGTCTACTGCGAGAAATATGTATTTTGCATTACCTAATAGAATCACATTTATAATTCAGAGTCTGTTTTTGAGGATCCTGTTCAGATCAACTTTTAAATATGATTTTCGTTCTACAAAGTAGGTCTCAGACAATCATGTAAACCTTTGTTTGTTTCACAAATGATTTTAACTTTGGCATGTATATTTATTGCTGAAACTGTTCGCCTGATACCCAGTAAATGTAAAGATAAGATTGCAATTGCTGAGGTTTCATTTAGTTTCAGTCACTTATTCATCTCATGTGGCTTCACTTCATATTTTGATTTTTCAATTTTATTTTATTTTTGAAGAGTTTATTAATAAAATTTGAATGGTATGTAGTGTGTTTTATTTAGTATTAAGAATGTATTATTGGATTTGTATGCTTCGAGAATAGGATTGTATTGGTTTTTATTCAATAAAGCTGTTTTGAATAGGTGGTTTCACCATATTTAAATTTCATTGCTTTATTATTTTAAATCAGTTGTTCACTTCTTTTCATTCAAAACCTTCCCAAAGTTAAGTTGAAGTAGGCTTTAAACAGAAAAACCACCAAAATTGAAGCATACTAGGTACCAATATACCCAGCAATATGCATACAGATCCTTTCTTAGGTGTATTTTTGGTTCAAAATTGCAATAAAAATCACAAAGTTGACTAAATTTGTCCAAAATGAGAGTAAAATTGCATTTCATTTCAACCAAGATTTCAACTTTTTGTATTTTTCCACTTATTTCCAATTACAATCCATCCTAAGTTAACTTAAAATCAAGCCTAAAATTAAGAGAATGCTTTTTGAAAAATACCCTGGAAAAACGTCTCTTAAGCTGGAAGAGCAAAGTCAGCAGAATCGAAAATCAATACATGGAACATTAAAGGCTAATTAAATGCCCCGATGAGAAAATTCAGGCTCCTCAATTTTTCGCGAAAATGACTGTTCTGCTAGCTTTAACAACTTAAGCTAGCAGAACATGAATGAAATAGTGGCTAAAACAAAGAAAATTTCAATTCCACATTCACCGACATTAAAGGCTCTGGAAATCAGGGATCGACCGATACGTTTTTTTTAAAAAAAAAAACGATATTGCCGATACCGATACAATATGGATTTATAGAAGGCCGATACCGATATAAGGCCGATATATATTTATCTGTTTTCTCCAACCTTTTCCTTTAGTTTGAATGTTTTATTTATTTGTTTTCTCCTAGTTTTAATATTGTTTGTTCGAGTTCAGATAAGCAGAAAGTTTTTTTTTTTTTTAAATAAATAAATCATTTTGAATTTGAGTTTAGATAAGCAGAATGTTAAGTTTTTTTTTTATATGAAAACCTAATTAATTTAAAATAAATTTATGAGAAACAATTTCTAATATTTACTTTCTTCTTAGTCACTCCCATATGTACCAACCACAATTATTAGCTCTTTTAAGCTTCAAAAAAGCCTTAGTGATGATTACTGATCTTCAAAGTATGATTTGTATCGGTCTAAAGTTATCGGCCAATGAAGGGCCGATATGCCGATACACCGATATACCTGAAAAAGGCCGATATACCGATATGCCATATCGGTATCGGTCGATCCCTGCTGGAAATACACCAATCGCGAATTTCAGGCTCAATTACAAAATGCGAAAAGTGGCGATATGTGAGTTGTGAGTAATGTCGGCAGAGCATGGCGGAAAAACCTGTCAGACAGTGAAAATCAGTGTTTCAAAAGTGCAGTCATTGTAAATACATTGAAGGGTAATTAAACGCTGTGATGAGAAATTTCAGGCTCTGCTAGTTTCCGTGAAAATGGCTATTCTGCTAGCTTTAACCTAAGCCAGCAGAACCTGAGCAAAAAAGTGACTAGATGACAGAAATTGCAATTCCACTTGCACAGACATTAAAGGCTCCGGAAATACACCAATCGCAAATTTCAGAAATTTCTAAACTTACCAATAATAACCTGGTTAGTTTTGATACTTTGCAATTTTAATTAGACTCTCGATCATACTTTTCCAAACTCACTAAATCAAAAAAGTAATTGAGCCTGAAATTTGCGATTGGTGCATTTTCGGAGCCTTTAATGAGCCCTCAATGTCTGTGCAAGTGGAATTGCGTTTTTCGTTGTTTTGACCACTTTTTCGCTCATGTTCTGCTGGCTTAGGTTGAAGCCAGCAGAATAGCCATGAAATTGGTGGAGCCTAAAATTTCTCATAACAGCATTTAATTGAGCTTGAAATTTGGGATTGGTGTATTTCGAGAGCCTTTAATGTCTGTGCAAGTGGAATTGCAATTTTCGTTGTTTTAGCCACTTTTTCGCTCATGTTCTGCTGACTTAAGTTAAAGCTAGCAGAACAGTAATTTTCGCCAAAATTCATCGAGCCTAGAATTTCTCATTAGGGCATTTAATTAGTCTTTAATGAGCCTTTAATGTTCCTTGTACTGATTTTCGATTCTGCTGACTTCGCTTTTCTAGCTTAAGAGATGTCCTGGAAAATTAGTTATTACAAACAACAACACTTACAACTCAATTATTACTACCTCCTCTCAATTATTACTGGCTTTTTCTATTGAAACATCAAGAAAAAATTTCCAAAATCACCTTAGAAACCACAAAATGGTCTAAATTTGTACCAAAAGTGCTTCTTGATGTTTTTTCTGCAATCTTTGGAAATGGTGATTCCCTGCAATCCTTGAAAATCAATTATGCTGATTTCAAAAATGAGTGAAAAAGTCCAAGTAGATTATAATGTTTGCATATTCATACCTACATTAGGCTTCACATTAGGTACGTCACAATCTAAATCTAGAGATAGCGGTGATAATGTTCTCTTCAGAAATCAAAGACAGAGATTTTACCAAAAATATTCTTTAAATTTATTGTTTTTAAAGGAAGAATAATTTAACAGGATTCAAAAATTTTCCATAACGTGAACATACCAAATGTATCATCTGCCATCAGCAGAGTGTGGGTCGCTTAAAACTTTAAAGCATTGTATAAGTATTTACCGAGTATTTACAAAGTTTTTTTCAAGTTTTGAGATAGATAGTTCTTTTGTAACTTCTGTACTAGCGTCACTCAAACTGTAGGTACCTATGCTTCTTCTGTCAAGTTGCATTTTAATTTTCTGGCCATATTTATAAACACCAAGATAAACATTGAAATAAGTATTATTGTGAATGTGAACAGAATAATAATATATTTCACTTTTTTTTGTTAAACAAGGATTCAAGATTCACACAGTAAAAAATTGAATTTCTAATAAAAGTACCAGTCTACATCATGGGAGACTTCAATTACCCAGAAATAAAGTGGAGTACACTGGCAGTCCATCCAAATGACCAGCGCAGTCAAGCCTTCTTAGAAAGTTATAAAAACCATAGGGGGTACCACTACCAACAAATAAATTTTCCAACAAGAATCAGCAATACCCAGATATCATTACTTGATCTACTTATAACCAATGAAAAAAAGTTAGTTTTTGATATCAAATCACATGCACCCTTGGGGAAAAGCGACCATGTTGTAATCACAGCCAAGTCACAAATCAATGTAGTTGCTCAACCAACCAGAAAAATTTACAAAAGGCAATTTTGGAAAGCAGATTACATCGCAGTCAACGAAACACTTGGACGGGAATTTAGAAGATTTGCAAACCCATTTAATTTCAGCCAATTTTATGAGGCTTTAACAAGCACAATAAACAAACACAACCCACCAGCAAACCACAAAAAGTTAATCCGCAAAAACCATGGCTCACAAAAGTAGTTTTCGAAGAGATTCAACAAAAACGAAATATCTAGCATAAATATTAAATCAATAAATCTGAAGATAATCTATCAACATCAAAACAACACCGTGTAAAACTGACCAGGAAATTGCAGAGTGTTTCACACAACAGTTTGAGAGTGCTTCTACTATTCTGGATGCAAACAACCTTAGGCCAACACTTCCACTAAATACCTATACAACAACTGAGATAAATCACATTGAATTTACACCAGGAAAAGTAGAAGCTGTCATAACATCATTAAAATCCAACTCAAGTCCTGGAATGGATGAAATTCCTTCCATTTTTCTCAAAAACTGCGTGCAAGTTCTGAAAGCACCCCTAGTGAATGTGTGACAACTGGGGAATTTTCAGAATCCTGGAAGAAAGCCATTGTCACTCCAATACTTGAGAAAGGAAATAAACAATTAACAGAAAACTACAGGCCAATTAGTTTAACCCGCATGCTGTGTAAGTGCATGGAAATAATCATAGCAAAAGAACTTACATCTTTCTTTTTGGAAATTAAGATCATTCCTTCACAGCAGCATGGCTCTCTTCCAAAGAAATCCACATTCGCTAACCTTCTAACCAGACTCAACGACTGGATACCAGCTGATGACGACTGGGAACCAATAGATGTGGTCTACTTGACTTTGAAAAAGAGTTTGACAAAATACCAATCGAATACATTAAATACAAAACTCAGCATTTTGGAGTTAGGGATGATTTGCTATTGGTGAAGGTTTTTTGTCTGGTCGTACTCTCCAGGTACGAATTGGTACTAGCCTGTCATAGGAGTACACAGCGGAGTTGCGTAAGTCTCAGTTCTCGGTCCCCTTTTATTTATAATATACTTGAACGATCTGTACTAGGGATTTACAACAAAAAATGCATCTTTTGTGGATGATGGTGACTTATATTGTAACCCTCTATTACAACATAATGATCTACAGCAAGATCTGGTCAAAATAAAAGCATGGACAACAAAGTGGAGAATGCCACTTAATGATTCCAAATGTACTATACTACACATCGGTCAGAATAACCCAAGTCATAGATAGCTATTTTCTACAACAAACACCAATAGCGCAAATAATGCAAAGCAGAAAGACGTTGGAATCACAGCGACAGCAGACTTAAAATGGGAGACTCACATTACTGATGTAACGAAAAAGGCCAATTCAGTGACATATCTCATCCAAACTACTCTAAAGAGATGATTTTGAAATTGTATAAGTCCTACATTTGACCAAAACTTGAGTATGTGCAATCAATCTAGAACTCTTACTCGAGCGAGTTCAACTGTGAATTATTAAAATTCCTAGTGACTGACTCAATTAAACCTGACCACACTGAAGGACCGCAGAACTAGAGGAGATCTTATGGAGACATTCAAAACTCTCAATGGCTGCAACTTAACCAATATATACCAACTCAGCAATAATCAAGACTTTAGCGATCACAACAAAAAGCTATCCAAAGAAAAGTGCAACAAAATGCTTAGACGAAACTTCTTGTCCAACAGGGTAGTGTATCATTGGAACTCTTTGAGTAGCGACACCGTAAACTCAATAACCAAGACCCAATTCAAAAATCGCCTTGATAAAGATATCAAAGACTAGAACAATATATTTGTGCATTACTTTGCATGTCCAATCAAAATGTGATTATTGAAGATACTAAAGACTGACACACGTAGTACAACAGACTCAGTAGTCTCATCGGAATTGGAATCTGCCTACTACTGAAACCTATAATAATAATAAAATGAAGTGTTCATGTCAATAAAAATTCTTCAATATTCTCTGAGAAAATTCTCCTATTATAAATTTTTGAGAATTTCTTATCTCTACTTACAACAACTGTATTAGTTGAGTGTTTTACATTTGCATTTCTATTAAAACTCACACAAAACTTTACCAATATTCTTTACAGGTGGCTGGTGCACCACAAATAAGGGCTTTTCCAAAACTAAATCCTAACAGACATGAGCCTTTAAGAGAAGGACCAGCTGTCACGGTATTTGTTGGTAAGTAGCTTGAGTTGAATTCCAAATAAAAAATTCCAAACATTCAACTTCTTAATAGGAAATATTACGGAGAGAGCCCCAGAGACGATGATCAGACAAATATTAGCTGCCTGCGGTCATGTACTCAGTTGGAAAAAAGTTAAGGCCTTTGGTTTTTGTGAATTAGCTGGTCCGGACGCCGGGCTACGAGCTGTCAGACTTCTGCATGATTTAATGGTCCATGACAAAAGGCTTGTTGCTAAAGTCGATGCAAAAACTCAGGCGGTCTTGGACGAGTACAAAGGTAAATTTATCAATCTCATGGGGGCAACTTTCAATAGATTTAATTTTTCAATAGCTGACCGCCGAAAAAGGCAAAGATCATCTCCATTGCAAGATGAAAATGAAGAAGAAGAGCTTGATGAAGAGTCTCAATATCTGGATGCTCTCTCAAGGGATAGAATTAAACAAATATTAACTGATTATCAAGAAGAAATGAACAATTATGACCACAAAAAAGAGGGTGAGGGGTATCTTTTTCAAGGTATTTTTTTGTTTATTGAACAGAAGAATATATCTGATTTTATTTAGTCTTTTTTTTAATTCAATTTTCACAGTTCTACTACTTGAACTCAGATATGTTTTAATCAACCTAATAAACTATCTACAGAAATAAAAAATTAATGTTACGAACATTGAGTCTTAAACATTTTAGGTGCAGTGATGACAGCCTGGAATAAGGTCCTAGCTGAGGCTGAAGTTGAAGAAGAAAAACGTGATTTAATAAGCAGAGAAATAGGAAAATTCAGAGAAATTATGAAGGTAGGTTGAATATTTTGTAAAATTTTATGAAGACATTTTGGTAAAGTATTTTGTAAAAAAATGCTAAAAATGGCCCATATAAATTATCATGTATTTACTTAGTTTTTTTTTAAAAAGTAATTGGATCTATTGGCATTTCTTTACTGGAAGCTACACCCTCTATTTGTCAGTTAGACAAGAAGTTAATTTAAGTCTGACTATCGAAAGAGTATGTAAGCATTATCAACTTTTATATTATATATTAGAGATAAGTATGCGCTTATGTCGTTGTTGAAACCGAACAGGCATGGAAAAAGCGCGGCGCAGTCCTCTTCCAGATAGTCGGCCCGTGTGGCGCCGCCTGGTGAGTAATGAAAAACATGTTGAAAAAAATCATATAAAATAATTATTTAACAGTTTTTAAATCTATTTTTCTAGAGCTTATTTGGAGGAATGTTTAGGTTACTAATTTCCAAATTAAATTATTTTTGTTCTACAAGTTTAAAATTATTTCTGTGTGTAACTTAAACAGTTTTCCATAAGTAATATCGAGTAAAAGTAACAATTTTAATGCTCAAAACGCAAAAAAATTGTGGAGGACAAAAATAGGAAAACTGTTGGACCACGCCCAAGATTAAAATTTTTCCAACTCACTTTTAATGTCCAAATGGATTTTACAGCTCTATACAACATCCTCTTTTAACTTAAAAGCGCTTTTAAATTAAAAGAGGATGTTGCATACAGCTGTTAGTGTTTTTGTTGTATGAGGCTCAAAGGCTCATTATAATAGCAGCATTATTAACTTCTATTTTTAATTTTTTTGCGATGTCCCACGTGCTTTTTTTACCATTGAGTTATCTCACTGAAAGTTACATATTCACAAATGGAGATAAGGGAAATCAATTTAAATAAATTTATGCAGGATTTTTTTTCATGTGTAGAAACCCTGAAGCACTCCTTTCATTTCTGTATCAGTCTGTAGGAAAAAAATCTGACAAAACTAACTCTAACTTGACAGAAAATTTTAGGTCATTTGCTTCCTATTGCTTTATAGAGAACATAGGATTATTAATTTGCTCTAGAGTTCAGCAGTTTACTGGTATTAGTCCTTTACAAAAAAATAATTAGGTTCGAAAAAGTTCTGACAAGCTTAATCTTAAAGAATTGGTGATTTTTTGGGAACTAATATTTTAAAAACATTTCAAACAACCCACTGAGTAGCTACTAGAATTTAATAATATGTTTAGAGAAAAGCCCTGGGAGAAGGTATAAGTTATTTTTAAACATTTCTTTGTAAACATACCCTCAAAAGGCGCAAAATCAAAAACCCGTTTCTCTAACAGAATCAAATTTCATTTAAAATGTTACTTTTATCTTGATCTATTTTTTTTTCCTTATCAGCCATTTCCTAGTTTTAAAAAAGTCTTTTAAGTTAGTCTTAGTTACTGCAACTGCTATCCGTATTTGTAAGTTATGGATAAGTAGTTTTATTTTTCTGATTAAATCGTTGTGGGTGCAATTATGAGAATCATCAGGTCTAGAAGAAGCATGGATCGAAATATACTCCCAACTCAAGGATTCCCCATTGTCAGCTTTATTTTTGAGAGTAAGTTTTTTTATCAGAAACTTGTCTTTTAGGCTTAATTTCTAAGGATAATGTTTTAGTAGATATCGTTATTTGGTGTGTCGTATATGGTGTATTTCATTTTAATACCAACAACAATAATTCTGATAGGAATGTTGTCAAATTATTGCAAAAAATGGTTGAAATGCTTATGAATCTTAATTGAATTTATTTTTCTTTCAATTTTCTAGTCAAATTTCAATAGCTTTTTGTATTTAAATTTAATTTTTTTTCCATTGTATAATATCTTCTAAAAGATTCCCTTTTGTAACCAAAAAAATCTTAAATTTGTTTTTCAGCCAGTTTCTCAAATAGTGACAATACAACAGGAGTGTGTATTTAAAAAAAAAAATAATGTAATAATGATTTCAGTGCTGTGTAGAGATGGTATGATATTTAAATATTACTTTTCAATGTGACTTTTCTAGTTTTCAACAATTTTTGCTTTTTGGTTAAATTGATTTCTCATCAATAATTTCAGTTTCTTTTTAGAAACAAGAGGAGGAACGCGAAGTCAAAAAGAAAGAGAAGAACAAAGAGCATGAGAAATCGCCATCACGATCGCCTTCGCCCAAACGAAAGGAGAAGGAGGAAAAGAAAAAGAGAAGATCACGATCAAGGTATATTAAAATTGAATAAAAAAATAATTATCAGATTATGTTTTGGTTCTTTTAAGGTCTCATGAACATCATGAAAAAAGCCGTGAGCGTGACAGAGATCGCGAAAGGGAGCGTGAAAAAGAGAGAGAAAGGGAAAGGGATAGAGAACGTGAGCGAGAAAGGGAACGTGATCGGGACCGAGAACGTGAAAGGGAACGTGACAAAGAAAAAGATAGAGAACGTGAAAGAGTTGACAAGTTAAGTACAAAAGAACTCATGCGTGAAAAAGAAATGGAAGAAGAGGCTAAGGAGAAGAAAAAGGCTGAAAGAAAGGCTAAAGAAAAAGAGGCTGCTTATCAAGAAAGATTAAGGTAGTAATAATGTTCAATCAGTAAATTTCATTTTTTAAATATTTTTGTACAATAGGGAATGGGAAATTAGAGAAAGACGGAAAGCTAAAGAATATGAAAAGGAGCGTGAAAGGGAGAGGATCAAGGAAGAAGAACGGGAACGTGAAGCTAAGAGATTAAAAGAATTTTTGGAAGACTATGATGACGAAAAGGACGACATTAAATATTATAAGTGAGATAATTAGTCTTTTACAGGCTGCAAAAATTAATTTGTTTAATTTTAGGGGAAGGGACCTTCAAAGGCGGATAGCAGAAAGACTTAAGGAAGCTGAATCAGACACAAGAGATAGATTGAAAGAAAAAGAGGAAATTGAAGAGTTGAAACGGAGAGTATATGCTGAAAATCATGAAGATGCAGATGCAGTATTTGCGAAAGTAAGTTTGGAACCAAAGTCTTATGAAGTATTTTATTTCATGTCTGTCGATTTTAATCTGACACTTTCCGACCATGGGCGTTCTAACGTAGGGAACCACCAGCTCACATTTTTTTGGAGTAGGTATCAGATTAAAATCGACGGACTTTAACTATAGACTTAGACATTTTGCCGGATGTAGTTTACTGTATTTGCTTATTATTTTTCAATAAGAAGCTATGTGGCATTTAGATAGCGTCTAAATGTGTATTTGAAACGCTTAGCTTTTCATGGAAAAAGAGTGACTCATTGAAAAAGAATATGAGTTAAAAATGTCCAGCAACGGTTGTAATCAAACATAAATGTATCTTATTGTGGTATGATCCTGAAAAAAACCTGAGAAATTGAATTGAATTTCAGTGAAAATCGAGGGGTCAACCACTATGCTTACAAATGATATGAATCTCATGTATTGTCATCCCAAGAATAGGGAACTTGCACATTTTTTTTTTAATTTCAAAAATGTGTTGTACTACACTAAAGACATAGTCATGCCAAATATAAAGCATTAAAAATCAGCCGTTAATTTTATAAATATTAGCAATATATAGCAACAAAATTCCGTTCACAGTCCTTGGTTGACAGTGACCTTCGAGCAGGTAGATTTAGATTATGGTTATGTTGTTATGTATGCCGTTTATGATAGATTTGACATTGACAACACCAGCAGCACATGGCGTGACAGTGGTGCGACCCGATTATTACTGCCTTGTGACGTCAGGACCCATAGAAATACGTTTTTGATCTCGTCAAGAATTTCGAATTATTTGGTATTTTCAATTGAAGATTTTGGAAACCAGAGATAAGATATTATATCCTTTTCCTAATTGCATCATTTATTAGGATGATTGTTATTGTATTTTATTATTTATTTCATATTTAATTTAATGTGCAAGTCATAGAGGTGCAAGTTCCCTATTCCGACTGATTGTCAATGATTTTCAAATATTTTTTTCCCCAAATGACAGTAAAAGCGGCCTTTTAATGACACTTGATAGGATCAAAAGTTGCATTTTTACTGCCTAGGCATTAAAAGTGACAGTATCACAACGTTCCAGGTAATAATTTCACTCAATTTGGTATTTGAAATTGATGGTGACAATGACAATTGTCAAAATAATTTAATTATTTGGATAATAATAATGAATGGAATAAATATAAAAAAGATGTCCATGTGTGAATTTGCACATTCGGAGAAAAAATTATATGTTTTACATGGCAGAAAAGCAGATTTAATGCCTCGGCTGGTTTTCAAGCCTCGGCTATGAAACACCAGCCTCGGCATTAAATCTTGTACTTTTCTGCCTAGTGAAACAAATAACTATTGTATGATTACCAGGTGATTTCCATTACTGCTCTATATCCCCACATTATGATGCCTTGTTCCACTGACAACTCATTTTTCCTGGTAAAATATGGTTTCAAAATCTCATTTTCATTTTTATTAGGGAACCTGTACCTAATAAAATTAAAAACTGAACCTAAAACTACGTCTTTTCTTGTATCAGATCTAATTTTCAAAGAATCTATTGGTAATAAACCTTCTACCATGTTCAAATAATCATATTCAGGCTCGCTACTCTCATTCTCACAATCTGGCAATGGCAAACGTGACAAAGCATCTGCCTTCACGTTATCGGCTCCACGAATAAATTTAAAAGAATAATCAAAACTCACCAAAAATAATTACCATCTTTGAATTCGACCAGCAGCCATTTTAGGTAAGCTAGAATGTTCGCTAAACAAAGCTTTCAAAGACTTGTGATCGCTCAAAATCTCAAATTTGCGTCCAGCTAAGTATTGATATAACTGACCAATAAACTGCTAATGCCTCTTTCATTATCATGGAATAATTCTGTTCAGCTTTGCTTAAAACACCAGAAATATAACAATTTGGTTTTTCTGATCCGTCAGGCATGACATGTAACAAAACACAGCCTATCCCATAGTCACTTGCATCACAAGCTAAACATAACAATTTATTTGGATCATAATGCACCAAAACTTTATCTGAAACTAACTCTTGTTTTGCAAAATTAAAGGCTTCTTCGCATTTTCGCGTCCAATTAAACTCATTACCCTTGCCTACTAACCCATAGAGTGGTTTCAATTTGGCTTGAAGATCTTTACAAAACCGTGAATAATAATTAATCAAGCCACACCAAGCTCTAACTTCAGTTATAGTCTTAGGCCTTGGAGAACTGACTAAGGCTTTTTCTTCTTTTTTCTCTAACCCTAAAGCCGATATTTTATGCCCTAAATAAGAAATATGGTCTTTGAAAAATTTACACTTTTTAGCATTTAATCTGAATCCGGTCCTGTTTAATCTTCCTAAAACCTCCTCTAAACTACGCAAATGTTCATTCTCATCCTTCCCAGTCACAACCACATCATCCAAAAAATTTACGGTACCTGCACATCTCTGTAGAACTTTTTCTACAATGTTTTGAAAAATAGTGCATGCGGGCTTCGTACCAAATGGTAATCTTTTTACCTTATAGATTCCTAGTGGTGTGCTCCAGGCTAATAACTCACTCTTTGCGTCGTCTGAAACGAATTAATTATAAGCATTGAGAAAATCTAATTTTGTAAATTTTTGACCCCCTTGAAGAGCTACAAAAATGTCATCAATCAGTGGAAGCGGATGGTTGAAATCTTGTGAAAATTTATTCACAGTAATTTTATAATTTGCACAAACTCTTATATCTTTGCCATTGGCTTTCATTACAGGTACTAATGGCGTTCCCCAACTAGAATTATCAATTTTTTCGATTACCCCACTAGACTCCAAACGTTTCAATTCAGATTCAACTTTTTCTTGAAATGCAAAAGGTATAGGGCGGGGTTTGTGGAAAATTGGTCTAACAAGTGCTTCATAGTCTCAGCTTGAGTTATTGGCTCAGTTATTGGGAAACTCATTGGGATATCAAATTTATCTCAAATTGTCTAGCCCTCTGTTGCCTAAAACTTAGTCTTGAAGGCGGATACACAACTAATCATGTCGGTATCTACGCTGTAACGTTTAAGAGGTATGATGTGCGATTTCTGGGTTAGAAGGAGATGAAACTTCCAGCGATTACCACATGATTCTTAGCGATTGCCAATAGATTTCCATGGAGTCCTAGGAGATTCCTAGCGATTCCTAGGTTATTCCCAGGGACTCCCAAAAAAATATTCAATGATTTGCACTAGTGGTTTACCCCTTGATGAAAATATTATGCACCCTCCATATTCAGAACCAATAGCTCAAGGCTGAAGCTTTTATTTTATTTTATTTTTCATAGCATACTATCAAATTACCTTTAAAGTGTTGTATTGTGATATAAGTTACTATTTTTCATATTGTTAACTTTGATTCCAGATGAAACAAGAACGTGAAGATCAGTACAAGCCCAAACTGCTAATTGACGTGAATTTGGAGCACTGGAAGCAAAAAGAACGCGAAAAGGAGAGAGAATTAGAGAGACAAAGGGCCAGAGAAAGAGAACGGCAACGCGAAATTGAACGGGACAGACGGCATAGAGAAGAAAGAGACAAATATGTCATCGCACAAGCGGCTAAAGAATTAGAATCTATCAAAGCCGAACCCATCGACAGCGATAGCGATATGGATACCAGTCACTTTAGTCCTCCGCCACCAGAAGCCGATAATGCATCTGTTTCAAATGATAATTCAGATTCTGCTCAGTGGACGCAAGTTCAAGCGCCCGATGAAGATTCGAGACAATCGTTTACATCTCCCGTGGATCTGCCACAAACGCCAACCACAACAGGAATGAAAATAACTTTGTCCAAACCAGGAGTGCTGAGTAATAATGCTCTTTCTCCATCTCAATCCAGGAAAAAGAGATTGGATCTTAGAGATGTATTTAATCCCGATGAAGATGATAGTGATATTCTAGTTAAAAAACGAAAACTAGTTCCTTTAGGTAAGTGTGAGAAAATACAAAATCAAAAGGGGACTTTTTTCTTTGAATAATAAATATTATCACCATTACTGTGATTTAATAATGGTATCCAAAGTCTGAAAACGTTCCAAATATATAGTTTTGTGGTTTTTCATTATTATTAACTTTACCAATTATTTCTAGATTACAACGAAGACAAGAATGTTAAAAAAGACAAACTAGACGAATCAAAATCTCAAGAAGAAAAACGTAAACATATAAAAACTCTCATATCGAAAATTCCTACAGAAAAAGTGGATTTGTTCGAATATAAATTAGATTGGTCCCAATTGGACAGTAGTATAATGGATAAAAAAATACGTCCGTGGATAAACAAAAAAATAATTGAATACATTGGTGAACCAGAGCCAACTTTAGTCGACTTCATATGCAATAAGGTTTTGGCTGGTTCATTGCCTCAGACGATATTAGAAGATGTACAAATGGTTCTGGACGAAGAAGCAGAAGTTTTTGTTGTGAAAATGTGGCGGTTGTTAATTTACGAAGTGGAGGCTAAGAAATTAGGACTCATTAAGTAATTCTTTATGATTGTAAATATAAAATTTCCTAAGTTATCTTTCTTATTGCATTAATGAAAATAAATGGGTCAATACTCCTTTTAGA